TAAAATTTACAATTAAAATAAAATCTCATAAGGTTTGTATCACCTCCGAGCCCTTTTGGAGGATCCAGCAATGTCCTTATCGGTACTACGATCACCGCTACTCGTCATAGCATGCAAATAACAATAAGGTGAGCCGAAGCTCGGTAAGTGGGGTGATGCACATGATATGTAATGATTTTCCGATTTCCTACTATACTCATAAATTTTAATTCCGGATACCACGGGTAGTAGCGATCTACTCTATAGGTGATTACCAAATCACCGAATGCTAACAATGAAATTATCCTTCGTTATAGTCACTCGTCGACGGGAATCCATCGCTTAACAATATAGGCACACAGCTTAGAGTATGCCTACGAACTAGATCGCTAACCTCTTTTTAATTTGATTAGGTTACCATCCCTATCCATACACACCACTTTTCGACCATTTGATTCTTTCTTAATTCATCCCCACCAATGCACGTGATATCACAATTATAGTATTAAACCCGAGTGAGGGTACCAAACCATCTAGGTTTTAAACCAATGCACCCATATCGGGTTCACATATAGTTCACACAATTTCAAACATCTTGTCGTAACGTTCACTTAATTAGGTTTAAACACCAACTATTGTCATTTGTTGGGCCGTGGGCTCGATTCCTATTTAAGGCCTTCTTACCGCTTAATGGGGTACTCTTGACTATTATTACATTCTACATTTGACTTAGGTGGTATTTAACATCTTGTCCGGCTTAAAAACACGCTAGGCATAATGTTTCTCTCCTTTTTGGAAAATTCAATGCTTAGGTCAAGATTCAATTTCTTTTCATGACTTTACCTATCTAACTTTATTTTTATCCTAATTTGGGCCTAATAAGTCCATAAATTATTTAATTGGCTTGAGAAAACCCAAAGTCTCCCTTTTTCCCATGTTTGGGCCTAATGGTCCTAAAATTTGCAAGGAAATTGTTTTGGTCCTACAAGACTTTTTCTTTCTTATTAAAATGGCTAATCAACCTAATTTTCTTACCATTAGCTTAAGGTCCCTAAAAACTAAAAGAATTCTATTTTTTTTATTTCATTCTTGGCTAAACATTTCATAGGTAAAACCCTTGAATTTTCATTTTATTTTCTTCCTTTCTATTGTTTCAAGCCAAGCTTATACCAAATCCAAATTATTTTTCTCAAATTTCGACTAAACCAAGTCCAATTCATCACACTCATTACCGACTAATTAAGCTACACATAAGGCTTAATCAAGCTTAAGCAAACAACCATCACAAACAAGCATAATAATAATCAACCATAAGCAACTAATAATCAAAGCAAAAACCAACACCAACATAAACTTAATTTATTACCATAACCAAATAAATGGCATAAATAAATAACCAAAGAACCCACTTACATAGCTTAAGGTGTGATTAGGTTTTCCTTAGCTTTTTTTTTCTCCCTCTCACGGTTTTCTCTCTTTTCTTTCTTGGTGCTCCACGGTTTTTGGCTGAAAGTTCCAACCATTTAACCCTCTCTCTCCGTTATATGCTTCCTCTTTTCTTCTCCCTTTACAATTACCTTGAATCAATTGGCCAAAGTGGAAAGTACTTGGTGACTAAGGAAGCAAGTGGCTGGTTTGAAGTCCAAAGAAATGTGAGTTGGCCTTAATTCATTTATTAGGGTGGCTTAGGTGTCTAACTAAGTACTTAAACTAACTAAACACCCTAACTAACTAAGTTTAAGTAAATAATCTCATTTCTTTTCATTAAATTTCAGAAATCCCTCTTCCTAAACTCGGAATTTTCTTTCCTAAAATTTTCAGCGAGTGGTACATCCAAATGGTCCGTACCAAATCGACCATATATATATATATCTAAAAATCATAAAATTTTACAAAGAGCTAGTAGACACATAGATAGATAACTTTTATTCTTTGAATTTTACCTAGAAATTACTCTAAGATCCCTAAATAAATCACACAAAGTTTGAAATTTTTCACCCCTAAAATCCAAAAACTTTTCTTTTAAACAATTCAAAAATTTTCCCAAAAATAAGTTCCAATGTTCCTAAAATTTTACAACACATTTATCACTAATATAATGCATCCCAAATACTTAGAAATATCCCAAGGATAATTAACTAAATTATCTAGAATTTTTCTTCCGAAATTCCCAACGTAAACGTCAAACATACCATTATCATAAAAACTTTTAAAATAACTCATACTATCATTTTTACTTAATATAGGCATGTTTATGAACATTTAAACATATATATATATATATATATATTAATTAATTAATTAATTAATTTCACGGGAGTTACATGATTGCCCTAAAAGGAAAGTTGCACCTAGAGTACCAAGATGGGTATACATGATGACACAAGTAGTAAGTTGAAAAGGAGCATGCAATAATAATATGCGATAATGTTCTGATTCTTAATCTTACTACATATACCTTAGTTGATTTGGGTACTACACATTCCTTCATATCATGGTCTTTGTTGTGAAAATTGGAAGTGATACCGGAGGTACTTGAAGTAGTATATGAAGTGGCTCTTTCATCGAGAGAGTCAATGGAGCCTAGAAACATGATTAAGAATTGTGACTCGCAAATTGGTGATAATGTCCTAAAAGTTGATTTAGTGGCATTGAAGATTTGGGATTTTGATGTGATTTTTGGCATGGATTGCTTGTCCAAGAATGGGGCATCAATTGATTGCTTAGCTAAGAAAGTTGTGTTCCAATGACTGGAAGAGTAACCATTTAAGTTGTAGGTTGAAATTAAGGTGAAGCCGGTGAATATTGTTTGGGCTATAACAACTTGGAAGATGATTAAAAGCGGATGCATGGGTTAATTAGTTAATGTGGTGAATATCAAAAAGAAGTGTAAGGCAAGATTGAAGGACATTGAAGTGGTGAGAGATTTTTTGGATGTTTTTCCCGAGAGTTTGTCGGAAGTGCTATCAAAAAAGGAGATCGATTTTGAAATTGAACTTAAAGCGAGAGCGGTGTCGATATCTAAAACACCATATAGAATGGATCCGACAAAGTTAAAAGAGTTAAAAACTTAATTACAAGACATGTTGGACAAATGCTATATTCGGCCTAGTTGTTCACCATGGGAAGCACCAATTTTATTTGTGAAGAAGAAGGATGGATCACTATGGTTATGTATTAATTACCGAGCCTTGAATTAGGTGACCATCAAGAACAAATATAAGCTTTCTCGTATTAATGATTTGGTTGATTAGTTGAGAATAAGTTTGGTATTCTTAAATATTGATTTGGAAGCAAAATATTATCAATTGAGAATTAAAGAAGATGATGTAAAAAAAAATGGCCTTTAGAACCCGATTTGGATTTGGTGATGTCATTTGGGTTAACTAATGCACTAGTCGTATTTATGGACTTGATGAATTGAGTCTTTCATGAATACTTGGATAGCTTTATCATTTTGTTTATTGATGACATTCGACTAAATCTAAGAGTGAAGAGGTGCATGTGGAGCGCTTGACAAAGATGTTATAGACTTTATGAGAGCATAAATTAGATGCTAAATTCAAAAGGTGTGCATTTTGGCTCAAGCAAGTAGCTTTCCTTAGTCATGTTGTTTGTAAGGATGGGATCATGGTAGATCCTAGAAAGGTTCAAGCAATGCAAGAATGGAAACAACCGAGGAACATATCCAAAGTGAGGAGTTTTCTCAAAATGGTAGGTTACTATCGAAGTTTGTAGAGGGATTTTCAAGGATACCTGCTCCATTTACCAAGTTAAAAAGGAAGAATGCTTAGGTCGAAGATGATAATTGTGAAAGGAGTTTTCGGGAGCTAAAATTTAGACTAACTACAACATCAATTCTAGATCTTCCATCGAATAAAGAGGATTCTGTGACCTATACTTGATGCATCAAAGATTAGACTTGGAGCAGTTTTGATGTAATATGAAAAAGTGATTACCTATGTTTCACGACAATTGAAATACTATGAAAGGAATTATTACACATATGATTTGGAGCTAGCTGCTGTGATCTTTGCATTGAATAATTGGAGGCTTGAGAAGTTAGAATCCTTGACTGATTTTTAGGGCAGCATATCTAGGTTGGCGTCTAGGCATACGTAAAAGACTCGCCATTCTCCCAGTTTACTTGCTCATTCTTTCTTTGTCCTTTTCTTTTGACTGTTAACCTTTATCTCTATTTTGGTCCTTAGCCCCACGAAATTACTATCCGTGGAACATAAAAGAGTGAATAAAAATTTGCAAATTTGATATGGTTGAATAACAGATGGATTAACTTGCTTTGAGCTCATTGTAGGGTAAAAAAAAAAAGACTAGATGAATTGGTCATTTCCACTATTTATGTTCTGAAAGGTATAAATGATTAATATTTTTCAATGATTGTGGTTGATTTTGATTCCTTTTGCATTGTTGGAATCACAGGTGCAAATTAATCAAAACGTATGGTTGAAGATGAGGCAGAATGTATGCTTGGAGATGAGGCATAGGAAGAAAACTTTATCAGGCTTCGAATGTTGAGAAATTTAAGGCTATTGGGAAATTTCTAAGAGTCGATTGTAAGAATATTCGTCAGAATGCAATTAGTGGTTCAGATTAAATCAGTTGACACTTGGTTTAGCCATTCGTATGTATGTCAACAATGCTAATAATGACACTAATTACAGTTATCAAAACTTTTTTTAAACAATCTTATTCAAATTATGTTTAATATTTATCTTCTTATTATTTCAATAACTCAAAAGGTTACACTGTCCGTGTGCTAGTTCCCTTTAAAGCTACATCAATTTTTTCTTTAATTTGAAGACGTAAATAATACACTCTGTGCTGATGTTGCTTTATACATGTCCTTGGTCAATAAAACAAAGTACTCCTCTACTTTACACAATCCAATAATAATATTGAATTTTTTTTTTTCTTTAACCACAAAACTTATGACCTCAAGGAAGTTCAGATACTGGCTTCTCCCATATACACATAATAGACACACGGAAACGTAAGCTTTATCACACAGCTATGGCTTGACTTTTCTTCTTTCTATCACTAAAACTACGGCAAGAAATCAGGCTCGGGAGGCAACATTGAAGAGATTTAGATGATCTCTCCTTCTCAATTAGGGCAACTCCATTAGGAGTCCTTTCACTACTAGAGACAGAGTTAGTTCCAGAGAGAAAAGGGGTAGCATTGGCAGATTTGGGAAGGACATCGAGTATGGTTGGCTTGACTATCTTCCCATTGGCAATGTTCTGCTTGAATGAGCCTGAAGTTTGTAGGTCATCTACATCTCGGTCTTCACTAATGCTATCTTTGAAAAGTTCAGATAATCTCTTTTTCTTCCCAGTAGGAGATGGTTCTTGTACGGAACCAGGAGGCCTGCCGTCTGAAGGGATTGTGTTGACCTGAGGGGTCTCAGCAGAGGAACTATGGTGGACTGGGGTATTGCCACGCGAAGGAGTAAAATCTGCATTATGAAGAAAGAGGGTACAAAATCCTGATTATGAAGTTAACACCAGCAACCATTTCTGCACAGCTATTGTACATAACATCAAGTATTGGTAGTGTTTCAGAGGATAAGCAATGACAGAGCGGGGTCGAACTGTCTACTTAACAAGAGAACGCTAAAAATCCTGATTGTTGGTGTTTCACACATCTGTGCAATCAGTCACGGAGTCCTAGAACCAGCTACTTAGCAGTAAAGCTACTTGTACAGTTCAAATTCCAGTATACAGCCAGTATGTCACAGAGAAACCCAGAAAAAAGTGGAAGGGAAAACGTAGTAAGCTTGCAAGAAAACACAATTTTGGCAGTCTTACCTCCATTCACACTGTGGAAATCATCTTCACAGTCTGAGTCTAACCAGGCTCGAGAATCAAAAAATGTTTCTTCTTTACTACCTGCAAAGTACGATAAACACATATGAACTTCAAACTATCAGGAAGTACTATAACTCGCACTTAAACTTAGAATAACAGAGTTGGATCATTCTTAGATATGCAGTACTTACGTATAATTTGTGAAAGTAATCTTATCACAGAAACAATTATTTATCACATAATATACATTAATGTCACAATTTCATAGAAGACAAAACTTAAACTTGTAAATCCATAGGTAACCAACACGTGACAGACAGTTTTACCAAAACATTATCAGGCCTCCAGTGGGCTGGGTCAGGCACATCACAAAGGGCTGCACTAATCAGCAACACAACCACCATGGAAGATCATTTTTGGAGTTGTTTAGAAAACTTAAAACCAAATCTAAATTTATGTTTTATCTCAGTCAACATCTTTCTTGGCATTTCTGTACTATTCCCTACCAGCCTGGGTTTTCATATGATTTTATGATATAAACAGTGACATTCGTAACAAACTAACACTAACAATTCGTCACCTCCATTCCCAATACAAACCTTTCACAAAATGGTCAATGATAGTTTTGCCTCTAAACTATTGAGGTGATGGTACACTGAGGTATGTAATATCAATTTGGTAAATTTTACCCATCAACAATCATACTTTGGATAAATATCGTTTGTCTGATTTATTTTGCTGCTTTCATTAACCAAAAGCTCTTTAAAAAAAAATAATCAATTTTTGGTACTTTGAACTGATTGTTTATATAAATGCTAAGAAAAATTCAATCTAGTTTCACAAATAATTTCAAAAAATTTTAAGTCGAAAAATATTGTTTGTATTTATATACAATAAAAATTCAATAAATTATAAAAAATAGAAAATAAGATTGAATTATCTCAAATTTTTTAAAAGCTTTAAGATCATATGAATTTACATATGTAATTTTAATGTGGTCCTCAAAATTTTTGCATGTGATTCTCAAAATTAACTTATTTTAAGATTTGATTACGTGTTATATATTCGGCCATGCAAAATATTTTTAGATCAATGCATATGATTCTTTTAGGACTCCTAAAAAAAATTTAATATCAATCCAAATTATTTTCTATGTTTTAGAATATTTTAAATATTTAATATTTAAGAAAATTTTAAAAATATTTCCTGATCTCAAAACATTTTGAAATTATTTTTGAAAATAAATTGAATTTTTATTGGCATTTATGAAAATTTTCAACTCAAAATAAGAAAAACTGAAATATTTTGAAAGAGATTTTTTTATCTATGATATCAAATCAAATAAAAGAACAATATTTATTCAAAACATTTCATTCAAAACTAAAATTGACTAATGTATCACAACCGCAATAATTCAAAGGTGAAAAAATGTGTTAAAACTTCACAAAACTCCTTCCCCATCTGTCACACGACACAAAGGTGAATTATTTCAAGATGCCATGACAATACCCACAAATGAGTCATCTATATTAAATATTGCTAGGATGTCATTGGTAAAAACTCATCTGACCAGAAAGTGGGCACCAGCAATTACAAAATGAATACATTACCAGATTTAATCAAGGTCATCACTCATCCTCCACATCACCTCTTTTTATAAAAATCTCCTAATGGAAAACCTCAGTTTTTGTCTCCACACAGACTGTATGGTTCACCAATAATACAACTTTCTAACAGGAATCATACCATTTCCATTATTGCAGAATACCAGCTTCATTTATAAAATTAAACAGAAAAAAAGCTTCTATTTTAGTGACGTTTTTAATTAGACCATAGCACCCAGCAATCTTGAACTTTACTTTCTAAGCAATCTAATCAGCTTCATCCTTTTTCTTTGATCATCTAAGATAAATCCCAAAGCACCTAACTTGTTTTACATGAGAAAAGAAATTCAATCACAAGAACCAATACAGCAACAGAGAACTCAATCTACCTCCCTTACAAGCCAGTGAATCAAAATCTTCAACCACACACATAACCCGACGCATACCACAAACAACAAAACCACCGAAAGAACAAAAAGGCACAAGCTTGATTGTGAGCTATTGATGTCACCAAATACTTACAGCTAAAATAATAATAATAATAAAACTCCTTTTCTTCTTTTTTTTTCTTTTTTTCTTTTTTTTAACTTTCTGACACTTCACGATCATATATCTAAAAGTAACTCTGACCAACCCACCACTTATTTTAGATCGCACTAAAAAAACTGAAAACACAAAAACACACACACACTCATCTTTATATCATCAATATAAATAAATAAATAAATAACAACAACTCATTTCATAACCTGTAGAAATAAACCAAAGATTTGGAAAATTCATAGAAAAGAAGCATACCGAAGTCTCCAAAAGTCTTGATCGGAGAGTGACCAGTTGGCTGTTTATTATCCTTGATGGGTGATTCTGGAATCACAAGCTTGTCTTTTTCAGGCTTAAATGACACTCCCAGTTTCATGGCTGACTCTGGTGCAGTACCTTTATGAACTGAAGCACAAGAACCCATATTTTCTCTTCCTCTAAAACACCACCTCCACCAATCTGTTCATCACTTTATTTTCCTTCTCCCAAAAAAAAAAAAAAAAAACAGAGAGAGAAAAGGACTTTGGAGTTTTTGTAAAGGATAGGAAACTGGGAAAAACTGGCTTAAAAGAAAGAAAAAAAAATCTGAGAGAGAGAAAGAGGGCCTTGAAAGGGAAGGTATGGTAGCATAGGCCGGTATGTATGCATGTAAGGGAAAGGATTTATTTATTTAGAAAGAAGGTGTGGGTCATAACTCTGAAATCAATGAGTCAGGAAAAAGAAGTGAGGAGAAGTGGGAGGGGAAGGGACACCAGAGGAAAGGGAAAGGTTGTGGCTTTTTTTTTTTTTTTTCCCTTCATAAAGAAAAAGTATTTTTCTTTGTCCATGACTCTGCATGATTAATAAAATATTAATTAATAATGGGTAGATTTGGACTTGGATTTTTATTGAGTCTCTACATTTCCATGTGCTCTCTGTGTTGTCTTTGGCGTTTTCTTTAGATTTTATTTAAGGATATTTATATGTAAAAACTGAAAAATGGAGTAAAGAAAAAATAAAAAATCCTTTTCAATTTATTTAATTTTAAGGACTTGGGAGCTGGGGGATATCTTTGATTGCGTGAGTAGTTGTACCTCCAGAAGGAAGAAACTGACTACCTAAAAATGATTTGAAGAATCGTGGGTATTTGTATGTATGGACAGATGGATAGGTTTCGTCCAAGAAATCCATCATGACAATGTTCTGTGCAATTAAGATGATTTTTTTAAAAAAAAAAAAAAAAATCAGATAATAATGCAAAACATTGCTGTTCCAGATATTTATCTCAAATTCGAGGTGTAGAAAAAGTTAGAAGAAGGAACTTACAAATATTTTATATAAAGAACAAATATTTTTTCAATTCATATAAAAAATGTTTGTTAAATTATAGTTATTGATGTGCACAAAGATCCGTAATATAAAACGTTATATAAAGTCAACGCGATGATTCCGCTAACTAGTTAAAAAACAAGAATTAACGAGGTAGTGCTTGTCATAGAGTTTAGGAGTGATGCTTGGAAAGATTTATAAAATATTGAATCAGATGTATAAATTCGTTAATTTTTTTTTTATAACCGTAGTTGTCCACATTATAAATAAATATAATGTCATTTATATTTGTACATTTATATTTGTAGTTGTCACTTGACAAAGCTTAATAAGAAATCTTAATACTCATGAATTAAACACTATTATTAAATCATGTAAAATTTTTATATTATATGATTGTTATTATTCTTGTTTTTTTCTATTTTATTTTTTTCACTTGATTCATTTCCTAATAAGGTTTTCTTACATAACCTCATCTCTCAAATTACCATACATCCATAACATTAGTATTTTTGTCAATAAAATCTCATATATGACCACTAATTTATTATTTTTTGCGACTCCATGTTTTTATAAATGGAAGTTTATTTTTTTATGCCATTTGATTTATTTTCATTCCTGAAATATTTAGAAGATAATAAATGTTATTCAAAAAAAAAAAATGGGTAGTAGAATTCAAAGTTTATTCTTTTATAAATGCACTCCTTAAATATGATGAATGTCTTGGTTAGATCGGACCGCTAATATGGTCTCCAAAATAAAAATAAAATTGCAAATATAGTGGCAAATTAATGATATGGAGTATCTTCACAATTAGAAAAAAATAAAAACGATATGGATATATATTACGTTTCACATTGTATGATTTATTAGATTCTTTTTTTAATACTACGAGTGAAGTTTGACGTACGATTGGAACTTGGAAAGTGAAGAATGAAGAAGTAATTAATGTAATCCTTTAATTTAGGGCTATATGTGTCTCTTAATATATATATCGTTGAGTAGGTCACACAAAAGTTAAAAATATGAATTATTAAAGCCTAGCCGGTCAATTAAACGTGGCGTATGCATCTTGCTGAAATCAATCAGCAATATAATTAATCATATATGTTTTCAATGATGATCATATCATTCATTTTGTCAAACATGCCATGTTTAGTCCTATATGATATAAATGCAAAGATTCTAACCATGTTAGTTTTCTAGAGTAAATTATAAACTAGTTACTATTGTTTTGAGAAACCAATTAATTAATCTTTATAGTTTTAAAAATTAATTATTTAATATTTTTAACTAGTGTTATCATAATTAATTTAATATTTTTTTAATAAAATATATTCTTTTCTCATCAATCTTTTTTGTATTTTTACTTATTTTATTTATTTATTTTCTATTTCTTAAAGCAAAAACTTAAAATAAATTAAAAAATAGCAAAAAGCATTAAATGATTGGTTTTTGAAAGCAAAATGACTATTTTTTTTTTTTTTTTTAAAGCGATATGGACTAAGTTATAATTCACTATAGTTTTCTGACCTTGTTATTGTTAAAGTTTTTTTTTTAAAAAAAAAAAAAATAGTGCAATATTGTGGTTGTCAAGTAGTGGCTTAGTTAGTCATCAGTCCTAGCAGCCTTGTAACAACCATTCTTAATTTCTAGCCTAACTAGCTTTGACCCTCAACTTTGCATTTTGTAAATTGTACAGTGATTTATAACCGAATCATGTCATGTCCAGCACAGCACATTATGGAAAAATTAATCCCTACTAAGTTAGATTCATTGCTCCGAATTCATTCCAAGCTTTGAATCTAATGCTTTTATCAACTTTAGAAACTGTCTTATTTGTTTAGGAGGAAAAAATCACACGAAGAGAGGATTAGTTAATTTAAGTGCCGTTTGATAATCAAGAATAGAGTGATGAGAATAGAAATATAGAAATCGGAATGAAAATCAAGGAATTGAAATGATATTTATATTATCATACCGTGTTTGGAATACTAATGAAGAATCGAAATGCAATTTAAATTTTTTGATATTTAATTATTTATACAAATAAAAATAATAATTAAAAAAATAATTTTGTTAAACTATAATTGTTATAAAAATAATAAAAGTGGTAATGATGATTGTGGTTATTACGGTGGTGATTCTAGTCATGATAGTGGTGGTTGTTATGGTTGCGGTGGTGGTGGTGGTTGTTGTTGTTGCGGTGGTAATGGTTGTTGCGATGATGGTAAAAATAGTTAATAGATAATAAATAAATAAAATATATTATTATTTTGAAAAAAAAATTCATTCATATTCTTTGTTTTTATTCTTTCATTTCATATGAAAATGAAGTTATGTGTAAATTTTTATTTTCATTCATACTATTTATTTATATTTTCACTTCATTTTTTTTAATCAAACAGTTACTAATATAAGAATAAAAATTTTATTCTCATTCTCATCACTCTATTTTTTATTATCAAATAGTACCTTAGGTTAATGCGCAAACTAACTCTAAAACATCTCTTATTATTGAATAAAAAAGTCTTTGAAAATTGTAAAATCTATTGGGATATAAATTAACAAATTGAAGATAAAGCAGATGATCTTGCACCATAGCCTTCAGTTTCTCTAGTGAAGGGTTTGGTATATGTCCTTTTTCATAAAGTTAGCCTCGGCTTTATGGTTCTTGCTTCTGACAAATTGTTTGTCGTCTCCTACCCAGCTACATTTTAGATGGATTCGGATAACCTTGGGCCCACATTAATGCGTGGTAATAGTCCATGTTGCCCTGTTCATTTTATTACTTGGCGAAGATGTTGGCAATTAAATTGGTGTGTCAAGTATTTTAAGGAAACTCCTCGATATTTAGGATTTTGAGATTTTTTTTTATGAAAATCGAGGATGGTTTATTCGGTCCTCAAAAAAAAAAAAAAAAAAATCAATGGATTGATGCTAAGTTATAGTAGTTTTAATTTGCCATTTAAAGCAAATAATTTATTTTAAACATATAAATTTTTTTCCCCTCATGATGAAGGATATTTTTAAATCATGCATATTAGATACTAATTGAAACTAAATCTTTGTTTTTAAACAATCTTAAAAATATACTATCTACGTTCCTCTAATACATTAAAAAGAATTTACTAACACTAAAATTTAAAAATAAAAAGTTAAAAATAGAAACATATTTTTTTAATCATCAGACTAACTTTTAAAATTAACTATACGAAAACTTAAATATACAATAGATATAATTAAATATAAAATATATATTAGACTATTTTCTTATACTATTCACAAATTAATCCCAACTTGTATGAGCTGAACCTACTATCATTCATCTTCTACCATCGTAGCAATTAGTCTTGATTATAAATCAACAAAATAAAGATTGTGGAGGATTTATTTTATGAAATTTAGTGATTCAAAGTTGAGCTTTTTGGGAGTCACAATTAAAGTTCATATTCAAAACTTCAAACTAAATTGAAAAAATTAATAACCTTTCGGTGGTTACAGGGATATTTTCATTTTAAAAGTGAAAAAAAGAGATATATATATATATATATATATATATATATATATATATATATATATATATATATTAAAGACATAAACGAACAAAAAATGTTAAAAATGATATACCATCCTAATCATCATGCTTAAAAAATGTAGCAGAAAAATAAATAAAAATAAAAATGAAGCAAATGTCTAAAATTTCTCATGTCGAGGCCTCGGCTATTAATTAAATTAAATCATGACAGATGGCTTTTAAGATGTCGGCTCATAGGTCAACCTCATTGTTGTGTTTTTCAGTGGAAGAAAATCTCTCTCTTTTCGGCATTTTTTAGTTGGTAGGACATTGTTGGTGTTCAAACTTGAGCTGCTTAGCATCAATAATAATTCTAAATAAATTAAAATATACAAGAATTTGGCCAAAATCTGCAACCTTAATGACAAAATGGCTTGGAAATATATATATTTTATTTTTTAATGGCTTTTGGAATATAAGATGAAATATATTTTTTTATTACCCATAATCATTTAATAAAATCCGTAAACTATATCCTATTTGTGTGGCTAGAAAATATGGTGAAACGTTAAAAGTTACAGCAATTTGATATTTGTACTTTTTTGACTTTATGTGCCAACTTCATGAACTTATCTACTAGATATTTCACATCATCTATCTACTGAATATTTAATACATAATGATGCAGATAACAATGGAGAAGTTGCTTAGTACTATTTATTTACTTTAATTGACGTATTGAAAAAAAATCATTTTTAATTGAAGTTAACGGATCAAATATTTTATTATCACTGACATCCATTTTTAGGGAAAAAATTGTTGAGAAATTTTATAATACATCAAGAGTACCTAGTGGCTAGTAGCATGTATAATAGTTATTCCATGAGCCGACTTTGAGGAGAGATAAACACATAAAAAAATAATAAAATTACATTCATACTCATGAAAAATGATAAGAAGATTTCCACGTTTGTTCAAATATTTTTATTTTCTATTTCCTATTTCTCTTTCTCTCTTTTTTGTGTCTATCTCTCTCTTCAAAGTGAGCTCATGGAATAACTACTATAGATGTCACTAGTTATTCCCGATGTATTATAAAATTACTCAAAATTATTAGCATTCGTGATATAAAACGATGTAATCAATTTTTTAATGTCGTTTTTTCTTTACCTTTTGTTCGCTCAAAAATACTAATGGAATACTATTTTTTTTCTCTCATTTCTCTTTTTCCTTTAAACATCGCTCATAAAGTCTATTAATTTATGCTACTAATATAAATATATTTTGAGTGTCAACATTTTTTTTATTTACAATGAGAAAATCCGATGAGATGAGAAGTTTTACATTTACTACAAAATAATAATTCTTTTTCCTGGTTACATATAGAATTTATTTTATTGAATTAATTAGTATGCAATCTTAGGACATTGCATTTTTTTCTTCCCATTTTGGGTTTTATAAAGTGAATGGTATTCTCAAATTAACTTTTATTTATTGGTGTTTTTTTCCCCTATCAAATACAGGCTTATACCCCCATGGTCATTGCTGAGTTTTTGATAGATCAAATCTCATGTCAACTTCATACAACTTTAGACTAATCAATCAATTTTTTTAATACACGTACTAACAAATGTAAACACCGTTACATGATTACATCTAATTAAAAAAAAAATCTATAGGAAAGGATAAAGTTAGAGACCTATTTGAAGTAGATAATCATAATTAAGTGGTGGCAGTATTAGAAACACATGGGCTATGGCCTATGGGAGCCCTAATTGTCCTAAAAAGTCCAAATAGCAAAGGTGTAGGATGTGAAACCACTAGAATTCTGCGATTGTCTTAAAAGCCAAAAAAATCAAGAAAAGCTTCAATAATCATAACAAGTGGATGGATTAATGATGCTCGTCAAAGAATGAAGGTGTTGTCTCTTAGCTTCTGCGGTGGGCCAGTTGCAGACACACCCACCGGCCACCACTTCCCATGGCTCCATCAGGTGGTTTGTTCAAATAAAAACATTCCATCTTTGTTACTATTTGGAATGATGAATGCCGAATCATCAATCAATTAAAAGGACTTCAACGATGAAAATACGTCTGTGGGATGGGTCAAGTGCTAGCTACGTATTATTTTGCCAGTTGTAAATTTAATTTTAATTGACATGTAAATTAATTTTAAAATATATTTTGAATAAAAAATAAAAAATTTGCAAAACACGTAAAATAATTTTAAAAAACAATTTCAATTTAATAATACATGTTATATTATGGGTTTAATAAAATATATTAAATTGAAAGTTATAAAAAATAGATATTATATTTTTTTAATTATGTATTTAAATAATTATTCATTTAATTTTTTTATAAATTAAAAGAATTTAATATATATTTAACAATGTCATTATCGTTTAAAAATCAAAAGAATTTATCGTATAAATTATATCAATTTTTGAAAAATAAATAATAATATTCTAAAAATTTATTAAAAAAATATATACATCGATCTCTCTCTTCGTTTTTCTCTTTTCTTAACGAGTTAGAAGCTAGATTACAATACAAATAAAATTGTGTATTAAAAAATAAAAATGATTAAAAAAATGAGAGACAAAATAACAATATGAATAAAATTTTAAGTATAATATACCTCAAAAAACCTTAAAATCACAAAAAAAAAAAAAAACCTCTTTCATTGTAAAGTAACAGAAGGAAAAAGAGATGAACAATATTGTGAACATAATAAATGCTTAAAAGAACATTTAAAATAACAGAAATTCTACTTATTTAAAATCATAAAAATGCCATCAATTGAATCCAACGACAAATAATTGAAATTTTTATGACTAACGATAATTGATTTTAATTTCTCTGGTTTCTGTTTCTTCTATTAATCAAATGACAAATGTCTTCACTAAGCCTCATCCAACATGCTGCTTTTGTGATCTTTTGATCAAACTCCAGGTTTCACCATTTTAAGTTTGAAGGAGGATGTTAGAATATTATGCTATAATAATTACATGTAAAACTTTTCTCGATATTTGTTTTTGTTTTATTTTATAACATAAAATTACCCATAATACGATAAAAAAAAATCAATACCATAAGGACATCAAGTGCCATTAAATCAAAAACTATTATAGAAGAAGATGGAACAAGACTAACAGTAGCAAAGAAAGTGGCATAGAAGAACGTAGATGAGTCTTAAATTGATTGAAGAGCGATTTGACATGTTAGATTGTCAAAGAAAAACCTCTCAAAACTTCAAGTTTATGCATAAAGAGTTGATAGATATTACCACCATTCTACCAAGGCACTTAAGTCATGTCGCAAATGTCAAAATTCAATATAGAGTTTCCAAAGGTGGACTAGTCAATAACTAAGTGCAAAATAAAAAGAATTAGGGTTATCAGAATCGGATCAGACCGATCATGAATCTACCACTAATTCGGCACTGTTCTCTAATAAGGTGATTCAAGGAATTAAACCAATCAAACTTCAATATGCGCCGAACTAAATCGAAGGCCCAACTAGTTTGAGCCAACCCACCATCTTTCCTATTGTACATGTTCTAGAAGAAAAGTAAAATTGCTTGATGGGCTCAAGGAATCGAACTGCCCGACCTTTCTTTTGAGCGCGCGCGTTACTGTTAGGCCGTTATGAAATCGGTATAAACATAGCAGAAATTTAAAAAAATTATCGACTTAATTTCTGAAGTTTTTTTTAGCATAATTCTATATCAAATAATCTAACGAGTTAAACTCATCATTACCATTACGTCTTAATATAGACATAAAGTTTTACCAAAAAAAAAAAAGAACTGTTTAGACCTCCTAAATTAAGCTTTTCTTGTTTTTCAGGATATTTTCTTTATTTTCGAATTATTGGTATTTATTTTCTGTTTGAGTTGGTTTATGGTTTTGGTCAAATTTTTATTTATTTATAATTTGAGAGGCTGAAAATGTAGTTTTTTTATTAATAAAACTTTATGAGAGACTATCGTCAATTTTATTTTAATTTTTGATATTTTTCGAATTAATGAATTTTAAAAAATTATTTTCTTATATTTATAAGTAATTTAATAGATTATAATAAAACTATATCTGTATTTTACATGTGAGTTTCAAATCAACCATGTTTGTTTGCTCCTAGTAAGTTTCCGGCTACGTCACATCGCTAAGAACCCCGTTCTTGATTTAAGTTAACGTCAAGGCAAATGTTGATTAGGTAATTAGGAGGTGAGGTTAGGTAGGTCAAAAAGATCGTGAAAAGAAACGACTCCGTTTTTAGCAACTTGAAAACAACCCACCTATCTGAAAAACTTCTCGCGTTATCCATAAAAAATTCGAGAACAACTCCTCTTCCAGAATCCGAACCCGTTACACCGATACTAGCCAGGAAATCGGGTCACGAAATCAGAAATGGGTGTGGCAGCAAAAATCGCACCGTCGATGTTGTCATCGGATTTCGCCAATTTGGCATCGGAAGCTCACCGAATGCTCAGTTGCGGCGCCGATTGGCTTCACATGGACATCATGGTACGACTTTGCATGAAAACTAAAAACAAAATCTTTTTTTTTTTTAATCCTTTAGTATTAACTTCAATCATTTTAGAAAAAGAAACTGATTGGTTTCTTTTTATAATTATTGTGTTTGCAGGATGGGTATAACCTCAATTATTGTCTCCTTCAACAACAGTTTATCCTTAATTAGTGCAGATTTATGTTACCCTTTGTATTATCTCTGTTACTTAAGGTTGTTGGGTCTATTTTTTTTAGCTTTGGTTTAAATTTTGGAAGCTTAAAATTTGCAACATGTCTTTCTATAATGAGTAGAACATTGATTTATGTTAAAGAGTCTGCACTAATCTGATAATTGATTGAGGGCATGATTATTGCCATGGAAAAAGGAATTTGGAGTTTGGATCTTATATTTGCAAACTAATTAGAAATAAAGCTAGTTCACTGCAAAATGGAAGATGGTTTATTGAAGAAAAGGTATTTGGGGAATATAAAGTAATAAGTTTTATGGAAACAGGTGGGATAATAATGGAACAAATGCGTGATAACGCAGTTTAGGGCAGAGGGAGCCTTTTTTTTTCTTTTTTGCTCGTAACCCATGGAAGTGGGAACTTAATGAATTTTGTGTGTTATATGTTTGATGAAGTTTTATGTGATTTTAGAGCTTAGTGGGATGGTTTGTTGTTTGAATGTGGGTGTTATCTTGTTCTTGTATGCAAATGCTTAGAACGCTATAAAAGCTTTGTTTTGTCTGTCAGTAGTTCTCCATTGGCTGTCTTTTCTTACTGTTATTGTTGAATTGGTTCATGTTCTTTTATTGTTTTATCGTAGGCACTTTGTTCCAAATCTAACAATTGGTGCTCCAGTCATCGAAAGTTTGAGAAAACACACAAAGTAAGATCTTTTATAGCCTTTGCTTAAGCTTATTCTTTCAATTTTGGTACATCCGCATGTTGCAAAGGGTAATGAATAATGTTTCGTTTAGGGCATATTTGGATTGCCACCTTATGGTCACGAATCCTCTTGATTATGTGGAGCCTTTGGGCAAAGCTGGCGCTTCAGGATTCACGTTTCATGTTGAGGTATCCAGAGGTTGGTTGTCATGCCGTTCACATTGCTCTTGTATCTCTTGTAGCCTACCTATTTTAACTTTCTTATTCCCTTTTGTCATACTGGATCTCCTGATCGCCGTACCCTTTTTTTTTTTTTTTGGCAGATAATTGGGGAGAACTTGTCCAGAAAATCAAATCAAAGGGCATGAGGCCTGGTGTATCATTAAAACCTGGAACACCCATTGAAGAAGTTTATCCTTTGGTGTGAAATTTTTACTCCTATATGTTGCAACAAAATAATGAATAGCTTTTACTTTGTTATCAAAGTTTTTGTTTTGCAAGTTAGCTAAGACTTATTTTGAGTAATAGGAATATAAGAATTGCTATATGTTGCTCAAAACTTACAGGTTGAAGGTGAAAATCCGGTGGAAATGGTCCTCGTGATGACTGTAGAACCTGGATTTGGTGGACAGAAGTTCATGCCAGAAACAATGGATAAGGTGTCATGAAGTACCCTTTCTTGCTCATTTTGATACCATGTAGCTGCCATGCCTTCTTGTTTGCAGTAACTTTATTTATTTCCTATCATTAGGTACGGGCATTAAGGAAGAAATATCCATCACTTGATATAGAGGTGGGTGAATCTCTATTTGTCATCTGTAACTTGTCTTCCAGCATTATCACGAGTAATCTTGAAAGTGGGATGAGTCCATGTCATGAGAAAGAAATAAAGCATGGGTTCGACTTTTTACTTCTCTGCACAACCACTGATTAAAACACAAAACTTTGGCTTGCAGGTGGATGGTGGTTTAGGGCCTTCAACAATTGACTTGGCAGCTTCAGCTGGGGCAAACTGCATCGTGGCAGGAAGTTCAGTGTTTGGAGCTCCTGATCCAGCTCAAGTAATATCTCTCATGAGAAAGAGTGTTGAGGAAGTTCAGAAGAACAACTGATACTTCTATCACTTTTCATGGTTGTATTTTTAAGGAATAGACGTCATTGTTCTGTTTTGGCATTTTGGATTCATAAAATGGGGCATGTCTATCTAATTGTTTCAAGTCAATTCACGTCGACAACACTGTAAGAATTGTACACAAACTATGTATGATAATGAGACCCATGGAGGGTCTGAGTGAAGTTGATAAACGTGTGCTCGTTGGAGCATTCTTTCCAATAATAATTTTTCAGTAATCTTCAATGACAGCTTTCTAATTAGTTGCTCTTCAAGTTTATTGGTGCCAGAACTCTTGAATCTGGCTTTCTGGTATCACTATGTCATGCATTTTTTCAGTTTAACCGGACTATTATATTGGACACTACCTTATACTGTCTTCAAGTTTTGTTAACTGCCTTAATATGGAGTTGTGCTGCTAATGTTGCATTATAAGAAATTTTTCAATATTGAAACCATCTTAAGTTGGAGAAATAAGAAGAAAATGCATGTTATCTTTCTGATTTGATGAATCAGCTACATCAAGGTGTCAATTGCTGCTTTCCCATATTGCAACTTGCCCTTTTACCATTTTACAACATCTACACTTTTATTTGGTCAGAAGAATGAAGATGGAAATAAGGAAAGAGAGGTCCAGTTGTTTGGTGAGTAAGAGGATGAAAGTACATAGTCTGAGCTTAAATTCTTGATGTAGGACAGATTTGAGGTCTCTGTTCTGTAAAGGATTTAAGGTGAGCTAAGGTTTATTGTTTGTGGAAATTAGAATAGAATAGAGCTTGTTTATGAAGAGATTAGGTTGCGAACAGTAATTCGCAATAATGTAGCAGCAGAATAAGAAAACAAGAAAGAATAGAAGAAAATAGAAGAATAAGAGAACAAAGAAGAAATATTGGCACTGAGAATTCAAAATAACTCCAAAACTCAATTCTGCGGAAAATTATAACATAGCATCCTTCTTTATAGAGATTAAGACTCCGTAAAAGACTAGGGTAACTAATCCTTATTTTACTAGGAAATAAACCATTAAAGACAAAGACACTAAATTCCTAAATAAGTCCAGACCTTCAAGAAATTCTAAAAATTATTAAAATAAGCATGATTTGCAAAACATAAGGAAATTACAATTCTACCCCCGCAGACAAAATAACCCTCAACTCAAAACTGTAAACCCCATACAAAGAAATCTACCACGAACACTTATTTTTTGACCAAAAAGACTTTTTGCTTGATGAAGGGTCACTTAATGTAGCTTTAGGCTTCCAAAGGAGAGAGTGTTTCTCTAAGTATAACATAGCTACTCATTCTATTCTCTCCCTCTCCCCTCTTCGAGAAACTCAACTCCGTTGAGTTTCTTGGAGCACAACTTAGCAATCCATCACCCAAAGAATCATCACGCTTTGATGAAGAATGACTTTGAAGGCTTTTCCAACTTTGTCGGCAAAAGATCACTTTATGGCATGAGCTTAAATTTCTTTTGATTCAACAAGAAGGAATATGATGCGGTTCAATTCCAACCAAATAAGAATCAAGATGAAATGCAACAAATCAAGTAAGAAAAACAAGTAAATGCAAATTTATGAAAACTAAGAAAAATAGTGATGTGAATGAAACCAAAATATAATTACGTTATCGAAAAGAATTGTTACAACCATGATTGTTTACCAAGAGTTTTCAAGATAAGAACCCTAAGGATTACAAGAGAAAACCGGAGAGAATCGAAGAGAAAATGCAGAGAGAAGAATGTTCACTAATACTAGAACACCTCTCTCTCCTTCTTCCTTGGTTTTAATCGTTAGAGACTAAAAAACATTTCTAACAAACTAGCCATTAGAGACTAATAGCTTTTCTAACAAACTAACCACTAATACAAAACCATGTCATTTAAAAAACTAATACACGTTTTATTCATTTCTCCCTATTTCGTATTCTTATGTTTTAGTTAGTCTAGTCTCTGTTTTTTCGTTCCAACTTCTTCTCCCTCTTTAGTCTCTGTTTCAATCAACCCTAGCCACTCGTTTTTCCGTTTCAACTTCTTCTTTCTCTCCATTCTCTATTTCAGTTAGTCCTAGTCTTTGTTTTAGTTAGCCCTCGTATTAATACCCTTTGTTGAAAATGACCTTGTCCCTAAGGTTAAACTACGGAAAATGATTAGTAATGTCAAAAGCAAACTCCCATGTAGCATCCATGAGAGAGCCATTAAACCACTAAATTAGAAGTTTAGTGGTCATGCGGTTCTCTTGCTTCACCATTTTACGATCCAAGATAGTCACTCGGAAAAACTAGAAGAGCAATAGAGATAAATAACTCATTTTGCACAATCACAAGCACAATGAACGAGTTTCAATGGCTAAACATGGAAAATAGAATGAATTTGTGGTCGAGCAGGAAGTTGTAAGGTATAAGTCGCTTCTCCAACCTTGCCAATGATCTTGAAAGGGCCAAAATAACAAGGGGCTAAATTCTAATTTCGACGAACAACCACTAACTCGTTATCTATAATGCTCGTAACTTCAAATACACCTAATTTTCAATATTAAAAACTCTATCCGACTTGGATTTATCGACTAATTGCTTTATTCGATGTTAGGCCTTGATTAACCGATATTTTAGCAAGTCCATCATAGTTTCCTTTTCCTACAAAAATTCATTAACAACCTTCACTTGACAATCATTAGGCAAGTATGGTAAACGCGATAGAGGAGGATAATCATACAAGGTTTCAAAATGATTTCATTGAATGGAAGAATAGAGTGATGTGTTACACCAAAATTTTACCAAACTTAACCACTTGCACCATGCATTAGGAAGAAAAGATGTCATACAACGAAGGTAAGTTTGGAGACATCGATTGACAACTTTAGTTTGGCCATCGGTTTAAAGATGATAGGCCATAGAAATTTAAGTGAAATTATGAATAACTCCCTCCAAAATTTACTAAGAAAGACAAGATCCCTCTTTAAAATAATGTTGCTAAGTAACCCATGCAACTTGTACACCCCGTCCATAAAAATCGTAGCTACTAATCTAATAGAATAAGGATATGCCAAAGGCATGAAATGGGCATACTTTGTTAACCTATCAACTACCATAAAGATTAAAGATTTTCCTTGAGATAATGATAATACTTTAATAAAATCCAATGTAATATTGGTGAAAATAGCTTGTGGTAAAGGTAGAGGATGTAACAAACCCGGAAGGGCAACATTTTCATATTTGCACCGTTGACAAATAGCATAAGCTCTCATATACTCTCGAATAGTTCTTATTAATCCATTCTAATAGAATAATGTGGCAACCCTTTTTGTAGTGACTTGTCACACCAAAATGTCTCTCGACAGCAAAATCATGATAATAAGAAATTATATCTCTTTGTAACTCCATATCCTTTCCCATAATTAATCTTCCTTTCCTTTGTAATTGTTGATTTTGCCATACAAATTTAGAATAATTCTTGTAAGAACTCGAAGCTGATCCAAAATCTACTTTAAAGCGAGGTCCGAACTTTAGGACTCTTGCACTCTAGCCATTAGTTCTATTGAAATATAAGAAATGGTGAATACCGATAATTCAATCTCGAATAAAGCATCAACCATAGTATTTTCTTTTCCTTTTTTGTAAATAATATCATAATTGTAACCTATCCGTAGGTTTAATATCCTCAACATGCATAGTATCGAGAAGATGGTAGTCTACGAATTGCTCTAATAGGTAATTTAGTAAAAGGAGTTATGTCTAACACAACCATCCTCGCTTACAATACCATTTCTTATGACATCCCATTCTCAAAATTAAAATTTTAAAAATTTCATCCGGCTCAATACAACATATTAAAGCTCACAATCATCACAACCTTATTGATTCTTAATATTAATTAAAAGCTCTCGTTTAGCTTTATCAATGGAATCAAGAACAAATCTATCAACCTTTTTATCACTTATTTCATCAAAATCCATATAATTAATATAAGCAATAGTTGTAATATGAGACTTGGATTCAATTCGACCTAATTCTTAGGTATGTAAGAAAGACAAAATATCACTTTTAGATTCTCTAATCCTTGTTTCTTATTGATTCATTAGTGGTAGCATATCTTTTTCATATGTAGAGCTTTCATCTTGCCACAATTGCTCCAAACACTTAAGAATCTCATTTTCCAATTGATTAAGCTTCAATTAAATTCATGAGCCATTCTATACAAATCTTAATTCAACTCTACTATGTTACCGTAGTTAAATGGTTTGGCCTTTGAATTTATATAGACAATTCCTATTGATGATTTCGACCTTCGATTGATTCATGGATCTCTGGAACTAGCAATTTGTTATTACTTTCTATTATTTCTTCATTTTCTAAGTTGAAGAGAATTTCTTTACCAACATCATCGATCATAATGATTTAGGTTTATGATGGCTTCTTGTAATTGGTTTCTCCATGATGTTTACAATTAGACCAAAAACGAAGATTATAAACATAACTCCTCTCATTCAATTTATAAATGGTGAAATACCTAACTAGGGTTTCGTCATTGATACCAATTTGTATAATTCCTCTAATTGATACCTAAATTTAGCCTTTTATAGGTTCCAAGAATTACTCCACTACCAATTATTGCAATTCAATTTTAACCAAACAAGAATCAGGATGAAATGCAACAAATCAAGTAAGAAAAATAAGTAAATACAACTTTATAAAAACTAAGAAAAATAGTGATGTGAACGTAACCATAATACGATTGAGTTATTGAAAATAATTATTACAAGCATGATTGTTTACCAATAGTTTTTTAAGATAAAAACCCTAAGGATTATAAGAGAAAACCAAAGAGAATCCAGAGAGAATGTATATAGAGAAGAATGTTCATTAATGCTAGAATACCTTCTTTTTCGTCCCTCATCCCTCATCTCGGTTTTAATCCGTTAGAGACTAAAAAGCATTTCTAATAAACTAGCCATTAAAGACTAACAACTTTTCTAACAAACTAACCACTAATAAACATTAATG